TTTTTCTAATATTTGACCAACAAGTTCTACCGCATTCTCTTCTTTAAATATATACTGATACCATTTTTGACTTGGAGAATATCTTGTAAGATAGTTATCAAAAATTTTAACAAATTGACTTTCTAAATATAGAAATTTTTACAGATTGTAATCCTACATTTTTTGTATTATTTTTTAATTGTTTTTGAATAGTATAGACCAATATATTCTTAAATTTATCTAAAGCTTCTTGTAACAATGGAGTTATATATTTTAATGATATATTATAGTTATAGTGAACTATTGTTTTATAATGGTTTAATTCTTGTTGATTTTTAAATATTTTGTTAGGACAAAGATAACAATAAAGGCTTTTATCTTTGGAATTTTTGTTATTAATTTTATAAATATGTTTATTTTTAAATACTTTTTATAAATATAAAGAACAACATATAATATTGGTACTTATTTTAAATCTTTAAAAAAATATATATAAGTTTTTTTGTATTTTTTTTATAATATAAATATATATATATTTACAAGCTAATAACAGGCTTTTGTTGATCTCGCAGATTAGTTCTAGGAAGTTAGGACCTTGTGGGGGAGAGAACATGTTGTTGTGGCAGATCGCATTTGGGCACCTTTAAGGCAGCTAAGTGAGTTTTTATTATAGAAAAAGGAGGGTTGAGAGCAATAGTTTAAAACCTTTATATAGTATTATACGTATTCTTTGATTAATAAAAACAGGATTGCTTAAAAAAAAAAAAAAATAAATATATATATATTTAAAATAAGTACTTTTTATGTCTATTTATATATTTGAGAGTCAGGAGATTGGTTAGTATCTAGAAAGATTGGTTAGATACTAGTTCAAATAGTAAATTTAAATAAAATTTTTATTTTTGTTTTTTTTTTTTGTTTTGACAATTAATTATATACAAATTTGGGATACAAATTTAGAGTCCAAAAATCGAAATCTGCTAATATAAAAATAGGGTGTGGCAGCTTAGTAAAGTGGTCTAGTTATCATCCTACTAAATGGCAGGTTCAAAGTTCAAATCCCACAAACAATGATTTTGAAAAATAAGTCTATATTATAGTAATAATTATCTGTCGATTAGTTGGGTCTTAGAACCTGTAATTTTGATAATACCATATTTACATGAGGGCTTTGGCATATAAAAAGCCAAAAAACTAGAATGATAAAACCAATTTGGGAAAACCCGAATAAAGAGTAGCAATGATCTTTAATAGTACTACAAGAAAGACTCAAATTTGAAAATTAGAACCAAGATTGAAAAACTAAATAACAACAAGATCTTTTAGTAGAAAGATTGACCAACTCGACCACCAATTTAGAAAGTTAGAAATCTGTGAGATATTATCAAGTATACCAACTTTGGCCAACTAGTATGAGAAACTAATAGTAGGGTTCTATCCACTTTGACTAGGGGCTATTGAAGTTAGGTAACTGATAGAAAAATACCAAGCATGTCTGAAGGACTAATCTACCAAATTGGAGGAGAAAGACATGTGCTAAAAAATCATATACCAAAACAAGACAAGAGTATTGGTATCTAAAGCCAAGCCAAGGTCGAATCTTCTAGATCATTAGTTGAAAGTAAGAGATAGACCAATAAGGAAATAGCAAAAAAAGAAAAAGTTTAAATACGAGTACTAGGATTAGAAATAAACTTTATAAGAGCAAAAATAGTTAAATGGAAATAATCTCAACTACAAGTAGAAGTCTTGGCAACTATATAAAACTACTGTAGGCTGGCCTAAATAAGATAGAGTAGGCTCTAATAGATTTATCTTGAGGATAGCTATATATTTGCTCAATGGAGAAAAGCAAACCAGTAACAGTTAGTACAAATCTAGAATAAGTCTTGAAAGTTCTAAAGCTAGATTGTGCAATCTAATGGAATGAACTAGATAGTAGTTCTTGGGTTAGAATGATATACTTAAAAATAGTTAGAATCAGAAAGTTTAAATAGATAACTCTTTAGTTGGGTTATAAGTACAACATCTAGTATAAAACCTATTAACAAATTATTTAAATAGGTACTTAAAAAATATATATGTAGCTAGTTATATCTTTATTATAACTATAATAGCAAATGATTACTAATAAAAAGTTTTCAGGCCAAAGAGGTTATCTTAATACCGAAATTGTTTGTTATAAAATATAACTATATATATTATATATTACCTATTCAATCTTATAATACCTATTAGTTATTTGGTTTATTCAGATATTTGTAGGGTTAACCAATTATCTGTAGAGTTATCCAGTTATTTGTGAAGTCTATCTGGATATCTGCAAAATAAAAACTGATAGTTATCCAAATATAACTTTTATATAACAGTTATAGTAAAATGAGTAATAGCATATCTAGGTCCAAGTACTAAATAATTAAAGTATCTAAAGTACTAGTAATCAAGATTAAAAAAGTTAGGTTGATTGGTAGTAAGAGTAAGTATATTGTATATAATTTTAATAATATATAGTAAATAAAAAACAATTGGGTGTGGTGACTTAGTGAAGTGGTGGAGTTGTCGCACCCCCAGACGGCAGGTCTAGAGTTCGAATCCCACGGACG